TCCCTCCTCAGTTCTCAGCAAGATGGAAATGTTGGCAGGAAAGTACCCAGTGAAATAGCAGAGGTCTCTTTTACAAAACTCAGGGGTTATCAGCTAAGCAGGAAATCTTCTGATGAAAACCACTATATGGCAGGAAACACAATCTTGGTACAAATCTCTTCTTTTGTTAGCCTAGTCCAGAAAAGAGCAGCAGGGCCTGTGCTTGGTTAAGTCACACATCACCAGTGTGTTTCTCTCTTACCAAACTGAAGGGAGAAAAAGAAAAAATCAATACATTTTTCCATGCAATAATTGAGCTTTTCTAATCACCTTTCCAAGAGCAGGAGATTAAATCAGTTCTGAGTCTCAGCTGTCACAACTGTAGCATTCAGGGAGGCGGTGACTAGTAGTTTAATTACTCCTATTTATAGGCTCATCAGTTTCTATCTCTCATCTTTTTCCAGTCTGCTCACAAGTTACAATTTCTGAGCAGAATTAAGAGGATTACTCCTCTCAATGAGGAAGTCTGGAAGTATTTGAAAAGGTGACTTGTGCCCTTGTTGTGCTGTGTGAGCAGGGACATTCAGAACACCCAGCACACACCAGGGACCCTCCACACAGCAGAAGAACCCAAATCCAAGTTCAACTACAAACAGCCACGGACTCAGGACCTGCCCATCTAGTTCCATGATCATAAGCAGAACAAGAAGGTGAACAACCCACTGTTGAAGGAATTACCTTTTAATAGATATTAGAAATGTATCAAATATCAGAACAGGTATGTTAGATAAGCATATAAAAATCTTTCTCTTTTTTAGGAGAGTATTTCCTCTGAAGTCTAACATTTACCTTAACCTCTTGGCCCAAAAAGGACTGTTAAAATAAGACAAACGTCGATATACACGAAGTACAATGAGAAGCTACAACAAAGAAAACACCTTCAACTTTCTCACCCTGAATTTGCAATGCCACGAGGATTGGATATAAGACCGAACGCTGCTCATGAGCTGAGAGCCCCGATCGGGTCAGTTATTGACCACTGGTTTTACAGGGAGCTCGTGGTTTAGTTTGGGCCCCCGAGAGCCCCACCAGCCGCCCCGGCCTCGGGTTCCAGGCCGAGAACGGAGCCGCCGCACGAACGAAACCCATCGCTCCGGTTCACACGCCCCTGCGAGCAGGGGGGGACTGGCTTGAACGCTCCCCACGCAGCCCAAGTTAGGGCGGCAGCTCCGGCTCTGCGCGGGGCCCGGGGAGCGCGATGCCCGCCCGCCGGGCA